TATATATATATATATATATATATATATATATATATATATATTCTAATAAATGAAGGTTTTTTTTGCCATATGTCGCACTCTCATTCAATTTGCCAAATGTCATTTTGTGGTTATTTTGAATTAATTTCTTTTCCACATGTCATGTTATTAGTTTTTTCTATTTTAATAAATTCCACATAATACTTTTTTTACCATAAACTTACCTTCTTATTTCAAAATTTCCAAATTAAAGCTCATTGGTTTATTTTGTTTATTTATTAAAATTTAAAAGATAAAAAAATCAATTTTAGTAATTCATTATTTTTCTTATTTTTTGATAAATCCAAAGTTCTTAAATATTTAGACCTTTATATTTAATTTTTTTTAATTAACCCATGTAATACATGAGTCTTACACCTACTATATATATATATATATATATATATATATATATATATATATATATATATTGATGTAGATAAAAGTTATTTTTATTTTTTGTATTTTTAATTCATATAATATATGGAGCAAACTTTATTGAAGATTGTATTCTTCTTCATGTTATTGGTCTCTATCTCTGGTACTTTTAGTGTCTGATAAATTTTAATTTTTATATTTAATAAAAAATTCTATAAAACGACGATGTGTTTTTTTTTCTCTATCAACTCTATTGTTTTATTATTATTATTATTATTATTATTATTATTATTATTATTATTTAACAAAATAGTGTATTTTAATAAGATATTTACTAAAATGGTGTGGTTTTAAAAATATTTATCATCTAGGTTAAATTTATACCAAATTGAAATTAGAAGGTTAAATAAGAAAAGAAAAGAAATTGACTTATCAGAATAATTATCTTTTCATTTTGTTCATATTTGGGTAACTTTTTTTTGTACACATCTAGGTAACGAAATTGATTAAAAGCGTTAAATATGAACATTATGACCGAATGTAACCTGTTACATCCGGTCATAATTGTCATATGTGAACATTTCCAAAAAGTTCGTTACTTAGATGTGTACAAAAAAAAAAGTTAAGCAGATATGAATAAAACGAAAAAAATAATTACCTAAATAAGTCAATATCCCATTGTTATAAGATGTGATAGCATAAAAATGTTTGAACTTGAATATTCTATCTTTTGATATAAATATCCAAAGTTTATATCATTTGATCGCCTTTGTTTACATTGGATTATACATATAAAGGGTTTTTTTTAGTTAATTAATTTTTATTATTTATCTAAAATATTTTATAGAGTCTCTTATTTAATTTAACGTCTTTAAGCATTCAAAATCATACTTTAGTACAAAATATTGCAAATATAAATATTATTTGATATTATTATTAATAAAGAATAATAAATATTTAAAATTTATATAATTATGAAAGTAAATTGAAATTCAGGTTAACATAACCATTTAAAATGTTCTTATAGTCTTATATCTCTATCTAACCATCATATTTATAATTTTCAAAATGACCACTCAATTCGAAAATGTCTATATATTTCGGATTCTGAAGTAACCCAATTTAGATTTTGGGCTTCTACAATTTCATTTTTACAAACTAATTCAGACCTTCAAATTCACATCTAAAGATGTTATTATGAATTCACCTATTTTTTTTCACCTAACTTCACAGTTTATTAATTTTCACCCACTTTACCAAAGCAATATACGGGTGTGTATGAGTCACTTTGGATAGGTTAGAACCAAACAAATACGCTAAGTGTTATTAATTTATTATTTATATATTTGGTTAACAGAAGCTTAAAGTCTGAAACAAGACAATTGGATCAGTTTTCAACCAAATAACATAACTTCAAACTACATTAGAATAAAGCTAATAAATTATCCATATACAAGAAAGAAAATCTTAGTTTGGGTTGAGTTTATATAAATCTGGAAGAGAGTGATGAATTGCATTTGAGAGTGCTGGCGTTCTTTGTGAAAGTGTAGTTTGTTCTTTCATCGACTCTTCTCGTGTAATTCTTCCTCTATTAGTACTTGGTGATCTAAGTTCTCTTACATTCTTCTCCTGGTGGAGTATTTTCGCAAACCTATATGCATAATAAAAATATTCAAATCAATAAAATAAATATAAAATGCTTTGTATATATGTTTTAACATATACACTAAATATAATTTTATGAGAAACGTGAATATACTTTATTAAAGCCATCTCATTGGTGGTATGATGGTAAGGCTCAGATATGCCCGTGCCAAAGTTCACTTTCGTCACTTGTTTTTTCAACAACTCTTGTCCCACTTTCACAAGATTTTCTAAGTTCTCATGTGTTGCCAAATCCATGGAAGTTAAGTCCCCACTTAAAGTGTCATCCTGATACAATATATCATGTTACTTTCATTTTGATTTAGTATGTTATATATAATACGAAATTTTGGATCTTTTTAAAATGGAAGGGAAATATAGTTACCTGAATACGAAGATAATTTTCTTCTGAATGAAGGGCTTGGAAGACAGTAGAGATATGATAGTCAACCATATCACCACTCGCCTGAGTAAATACATCCACCAATGGAGTCAGAGCCTCCACCAGCCAACCAACCCAAAATCCCCCAACTGGATGACTTTGTTGCATCATACTTTTCTTGAAATTCTGGTGACCCTGTGCCTAATGACAATACTAGAAATCGTCCGTATTCTGTTGGCTTTATTGGGAAAAAATTTGCACTACCTCTAGTTATTTCCTTTGTTACTTCACTTATGGCAACTAAAGTCTGCAAAAGAGAAGAATTATTAGCCTAATTAAACCACATAGATGAGTAATTAATTAAGCATACCGGATTGTTGGCTGTTATTGCACCATCAATAAGATTGAATTCTCTAAGTAATTTTCCTTCGGTATCTTTTGTTTGGAATGAATGTGAAGGAAGATAAGTTGGGGCAGCTGATGTTCCAATGCATATATCAGATAACTTGGCATCAAGACTTGGGTTCTTCTTTAACTGAACAAACATGAATATGAATGTACGTATTATATGGTTACTTGAAATGGCTAATTAAATGAAAGAAACATAAAAAAAAATACTGTTATTTTTGTATTATCGCATTTCTATTAAAGCATTACACTTTCTACTTATTTTTTTTATTAAACATGTTCTGAAACTTTATCCAATTATAGCAGTATACTTTCAACTTTTCTTTTTATTCTTATTAAGATATTATTATACTTTGAAAAACTAGCCAATTATAATGGTAAAAATTGTTGTGAATTTGGATGACTTTTCTTTAATTGGTAGATATGGTTCAATATATAATGTTGTAATATATATGAAAGAAAAGAAAGTAAGACGCTATAATAAATAAACCAATGAAAGTGCATTGTTATTTCTTGGTTTTAGCATTTTTTGAAACAAATATCAACAAAATTTATATTTTTCTCTATTTCATTGTTAAGATTTTTGGGGTTTGAAAAACGATCCTTTGATGGTTTTTTAGGGAGCAACAAATGTATAAATTCAATACCTGGTAGCTTGAGAAGATCACGGGTTGCAAATATTTGATGTCAAATGTTGGAATCACGACATTTGTTAATGTTTCCTGGAGTCGTTTTTCTTGTAGTGTTTCTCGAATAACTTTGTGTAGATTTTCACCATCATATTTTGGCCCTGATAGAGCTTTGATCACTTTTGTAGCAGGAGCGAACGGATGGCTACATATTGTACCAAAAAAATGGACGTTTAAGAAAACAAAAAAAAAAAAAAAAAACTCAATATTAACCATAACAGAAATTTTCCATCACACTACTAGAAAAAACAACTCGTTTATAAAAATAAAAAGATGTTGCAACGTAATAGTGGAATCGTCCCAACTTGTTTCTCACTTATTGCATAAAAACAACGTATGCTAAATTTCACCAAGAAGGTTAACCAAAATATTTCTAGTGTTCTACGATTGACTTCGCACGTGGACCTGAGACATATTGACGTGACAACTCAGATAGTGCACTGTCTAAAATTTTTTATTGCATGAGAACGAAGAGTTTCAACAATCAAACACTATACTATACAAGAAGTGTCACAAGTTATTTAGTTGCTATTATTACATGATACCTATCATGTGGAAAGATCTTAGGACAATGTTGAAGATAAAAATCTTTAACATCCTTTGCTGCAAAAATCGGACGGTTATCTTCATCCGGAGTGGTTAACATGGCGGTCACAAGACCACCGGTGCTTGTCCCAGCTATTACATCAAAATAATCCGCAAGCCGTGCATTCTCACCATCTAATTTCTGTCATAATTAAACAAGATTTACTTTTTCTTGTGGTGCTTCACTAAGATATATATTCTATATTATAAATGTTACCTGTAGTTCAATTTCCAAAAATTCAAGGATGACACTTGGAATGATTCCTCGTACTCCACCTCCATCGATACTCAGAATTGTGATTAAGTTTCCATATGCTGGTGGTTGCAAAGGTGATTGTGGTTCTTCCTTAAAAGACATGATGAAAAAGAGAAAGAAGTAGCTAGAATGATAATGAGTTTTGTGGTCTGAGGTTGATGAGGGTGATTTATGATACGTACGTGAGGGTATTTATAGGGATATAATTAATATTTGTTGCATGTTTATTGGAAGTTTCAAAAGTTTGGACTTGGACATTTCAAGGATGGGCCACATGTTGAATTTAAGTTATAAAAGGAAGTTGCATGGCAGCTTGCAAGTTCGTTAAATTATATAGTCAAGTAGTAATCACAGATCGAGAAAATTCTTAAACGGAGCAAAGGATATTCTTTTGGCAACGGTGGTGTATGCCAATCAATGTTTTAAAAGACGATTTTTTAGTTTAACAAGTCTGGTGATCGGTTCAACCAGTTCGACCATCGGTTCAAATCAGTTTCCATAAATTATATGGAAGTTGTGTGCGTCGGTTTTCGAATTATGTGCACTCCAGATAACATGATCGATCGAGCTGAACAATTTGATTTGAACATGAGCTATTTTTTATCGACTTAGTCCTAAAACTTTATAGAACAAAATATTAACAAAATTATAAATTATTATAATTAAACCTTTAATTTGCAACAAAATTTTTGTTTTAAATTCAAAAACTGATAAGATGATACGAAATCCAATAAACACATGTGGTGTTGAATTTTCCAATCCGTTTCCCAAGTCCTAAAAAAAGACTAATATGACTATTTGTCTACAAATGAAAGTTCACACAGCACGTAACCAGTTTTTTGTTTATTTTTCCCAACTCATTGATGCACAATTAATGTGGGACCAAAATTAAACATAATAAAAGAGTAAGGGTAGATTTGTCAAATGCATTAACCAAATGTCTGTCGGGGCCTGGTTGGCTGGTTCCGCCGTCATATGGGCTACTTTTATGCGCGTCTATGGGTCAGATGGATTGTTAGATATTTAGCCCACTGTACACTTAATAGTTTAATTTCTTAAATAAATTGTGAAGGCATTAAACTGTACATTGTAATTTCACGTCTATAAATATTCGTTTCTTTTATTCCACTGTACACTTTAATTTCTTAAATATTAAATGTGATTACACTTTGTTTTTAATATTATTATTATATTATCATTTTGAGAATTATCACAAATACGATTCAAACCAATTTCTAAATGCCACCGTGCGATTTTTTAATTCAAACCAATTTCTAAATAAATCCTAGCTATTAATTTTTAATGGTTAAAGATCTAGATTTGTCCTTACAGTCTTTACCGAAAATAAAATCATCACCCG